TCGTCTCGTAACGTGCCCAATTCACGGCCTGATGCTGGACGAAAACAATACAACAATGACAGAAGATGCTGTACGCGGGTTTATCTACGAAGTCTATCTAAAGCACGACAAAGTTGTATAAAAGAGGCCAGACGACAGCTGTAAAGATGTTGACAATCAGCATGGTTATGCGGATGATGTTTGTGGTTCTCCTTCACCATTTTGAGGCGGAGGAGCCTGGACGATCTTCTACTTCCTCATGACTACGTCCAACCACAAAGTCGGGTAGCAACGTCATGCCTATTCATATCATTATGGGGAAACATAGCTACTAGTCGCCTTAGTACCCTAGACGAAATAAATTGGATACATCTCCTATATATGATGTACTGACAGTCTCGAAAGCCTACGTATGAACGAATAATTCATACAGAATCGGCATTACATGAGGCCGAATTCGCTCTAGTCGAAATCAGTCTGTCCGTTTTTCGCTCAAATCAAATACTGAATTGCACCAAATCTGGCAAGCTCCATAAGGTTCACGACATTAATGCCCTCACCGAGTACCGGTCTCGGCTGTCATCACCTCCCGTTCACCTCTCTCTTTCTCTCTCTCTCTCTCTCCTTCTCTGTACCACATGTCAGCGTCCTATTTGTCAGGCGAAAAGCTTGTTTACATTTTTGAAACCATTCTCCCATCTGCTGCCGGTCAGTCGGCCATGGCTTGTTGCATGTTCCCTGTGCCCTGTGCCCTGTTCTCTGTTCCCTATTTGTGTTTGAATGTGTGTCTGTATGCGATTACGACATGTTGGCGTGTGGGGACCAGGGGTGTTGGCAGGGCACAGATGCTCGCACTGCATGGGGAACCCGCTTCATTGAAACTGGCATGTAAGCCGAATTTGTCAATTTTATGTGATCATATAAGCCCCATGCCTCCAACCCTCTACCTCTCCCCTTCTCTCCTTTCTCCCTCTCTCTCACACACTCTCCAGCCAAACCTCAAATTCTCGCTCTCGCTCTCGCTCTCGCCTCGGTTAATGGTCACACGATACTTGTTGGGACTAAACGTTTGACTGAAGCATGTGATTGCCGAATGGACAAATGATGCAAGTCCAAACCTGATACTGCCAACCCGAACCGGCCAGTGTCATGTTTAGACGCTGAGGCAACGGGGGCTTCTGATGGGAATGGGGTGGGGGGATGTTTTGTCTTGCCCTCGTGGGCATGGCCCATGCTTCGGGAGGTGTTCGGTCAGAACATGCCCTCCGTGCCAGAATGGGCAACTGACGGCGTAGCTAATTGACCGGCTACTTGGCCGACTACCTGTCATGCCATGATCAGACAGGTGGGGCAGCGAACCCCGTGACCTGGGCCCCGACTCGAATGGACCAAAAACACCATTTCATACAGGCACCCACGAACCTGTCTGTGTTTTGTGCCATTGTAGCCATTGTGGCAGTTTGACGCAAAATCCCGTTGCAGTCTCCGGGACAATTTCACACCCGCTTCAGTCGACTTGGAGCTACCTCGAGTGGGGCTTGTACCGATTGTGTCCAATTGCACAGCGTTTACGCGAATCCGGAGGGGAGAGTTTATCATTTTATCTACTCTCCCTGTGGCACTGCCATGTCTTCCATGCCCCCTCTCGTCATACTCTACGCCCCACAAAGGCGGTTGCAGTCGGGCCCTTTTTTGTGTGCTCCA